TGACACACACACACACACACACACACACACACACACACACACACATTATTTTACTCATGTGCAATTCAGTTTTATATCATCCATCCAAATATTTTCCAATATTTAAGAATGGTGTTAGCCTTCACACCATATATAATGTTAAAGTGGCTTATGTAATTTCAAATAAACTTTTTAGGAATAGACCACTGTTTACGATTTACACTTGGAGCTCAATATTCCTTTCTTTTCTGGTTGTACTTTTGGTGGTATAATAAACTGTTTGACAACCACGTGATACGGTGGCCGATAGGGGCAACCACGTTGCAAATTACTTGAACCCTGTCGCCCACTGCGATAATTCGACAGTACGGTAACTCAGTGGATATAAAAATGTGGTGCAAGTAGCACTTGTGGTAAACCGGTTTCCTCTTGTTGTAAGTGAAGAACTATTACAACAGTAGCAAGCAACCATAACAAAAAACGTTTAGGATGGAACATTTAAGATGGAACAACTGTCCTAAACATTTTCCTTGTAATCCAGGACAGGGTATTAACATTTTAAGTATACTACACGAAAGTTGCATTTAACCTTTTCTGTTTGTTCTAAAACCTTTATCCGGTACTTTGAAAAAAAAAACAAACAAACTAACAAAACAAATAACGTATGCATAATAATTCCAACGTTATCACTAAGTAATTTTTTTCATACATCTAAGCACAGTGTTGATGATCATGCTGTGCATAATTTTACACAGTCTTAAAGTTTTTTTTATCCTGTTTGTTATGTACAGTTCAGTTGCATTTGCATTTTAAGTACAATACAGATGCATTTAGCATGTTTCAAACATTTACTCCTGTTTAGTTTTAATTATGTGCAATGGATTTATTAAGAATTAATTATGACTAATATTTAAGTACAGTTTTTATTTTCAAATATTTAACTGCAGAGTGGATGTTCAATCTACATTGCATTACGGTGTCTTAAAATAATATTACATCTACTTTTAGGATGAAAGCCTTTGCGTCGTTTTTGCTGAACACTTGGGCCTGTAGAACAGTATTTTAATGTTGGTCATGATAGCGGTGCTTGGAAGGCAAAGTTTTTTTTGTGGTACTTGTACAGATTTCAAGAATCACTGCTAATAAACAATAATGTTAAATTGCTTAGAGGGTATTTTTCCGCCACGGATGGATTGTTTTTCAAACAAATTCAAGGTAACCATTGATCAAAGTGTCCTGTCGAGTTTTCTGTATGCGGTCCTGGGAAGAAAAAGTCGAAACTGGCTTGGTGAAATCGCCGCCGAAACATTCACTACATGTCCCACAAACAACTGCGAAATGCGCCTGTTCCTCTATGACGCGAAATTGTCATGAGTCATCCAATGGTTGCGTCGAGTATGGTGATTGACGCACAAGTCACATGTTACTATTGGTTTCTATGCGGTTTCCAGGAAGTAAACGCCACCACTTGGAACCACCTCTTACATGTGAGCTCGGTCGGCGGCACCACGCGCGGCGTGTGGAGGAGAGAAACCGGCGGAAAGGCAACGTCATCATCCCTCGGACCACCGACTCGACCGACTTAGAGTAGAAAACAGCGAGCGGAGCGGCGTTGTCCGAGGCAGGTATGGAATTGATTGTGATTTCAGCTGGTTTAATCGCGACATCGCCGTTACAATTGAGAGGAACGGGGAGGAAAGTAGGTCGAATTAGGTAAGAAACGGGTGGACTTTAGGGCCTGGCAGACTGTAGGCCTGTTAGCTCTCCGCGCACTTCACTGACGGAGCGATCCCGGGTAGAAGCTCTCGTTTTCGGTCAGTCGTAGCTTCAACGCTGGCCAGGTTCCTTTCAGGACACCGCACCATTCATTTGGCTAGGTACACGACTGTGAATGTGTGGCAACCTTTTTTGGTTGAGACTCCTATCGTATTTACGCTTCTTTCTTTCAATTTTAGGTGCTGATCAGCTACAGCAGAAAGATGGCGGACGACCCCAGCGCGGCGGACAGGAACGTGGAGATCTGGAAAATCAAGAAGCTGATCAAAAGTTTGGAAGCTGCTCGAGGGTAAGGACGCGACGTCGCGTGTTGTGTCCGTGTGTTGGCTGGTGGCACTGACTTAGCACGACGTTCCCCGGCTGAGGTTATTGTGTAAAGGCGCCCAGTCGCAACAGCTGGACATCAGCAACGAAAGGCCGACTTTGGGAGTGGTTAGCTTAGCATCGCCAGCTTTATGCTGCTGTGGCTGTCAGCGTGCTAGTGAATGGGTGCCGTCGTCGCATTTCGCCGGCCTGTCAAATAAAACAAACCAAAAAAAAAAAAAGATTGCAACTACGTGACCATGTAGACGTTTTGGGTTGCCCATTTCGCCCCACTAGGGATAAATAAAACGCATTAAACCCTGTAGACAGACGAGGAACGGCGGCGCTGAAGACATCCGTTATAAACGTCATCTCTGGAGGAAGGCCGCAATGTGTCTTTAGCGAGGTGGCTAATTGGTGAAATTGAATCGTCGGTCAACTTCAAGTCGATCTATTACTCACCAGAAAAAACCTCGTCAAGCGGGGAATCTGTCCTAAAACCCCAATGAGGCCAGTCTCGTTTTATAGCAATAGCATCAATAGAATTGTTTCTACATGGTCAAAATGTAACCGAACTGCTCCAGAAGATATTGTAATGGTTAAACTTTTCGCCACATATTGTAATAGGTTGTCCATCCTCCACCTTAACCAGTGGTCGTTAACCCCAGCAGTTACCCTGCTTTTTCCCACCTACCATTGAGTGCTGTCAGCCTACTTGTGGCCCTTTTGTATGGCCACTGAATAGAGAGATGATAATATGGGAGAAGTGGAACGTGTACACTGTCCTTTACACCTAAAAGGTCTACATCTTTTTCTGTACTCGCT